TTCTGACTTGAGCTGCACCATCCGTCCTTTCCTGAGTCTCCAGCCTGCTGGCTTGCCTTGCAGATTTGAACTTACCAGTTCCCACTAACGCAAAATAAAATTAAGAGATAAATTAATCAATCTAGCTTTCTCTAGATAGGTTAATCAATCAGTCAGTAGATAAATCTATAGATAGATGTAGCTACTTGTATTTATGTTTATCTACCTACATTGGTGTCTATATCTATAGATTGATATATACATCCTGCTGGTTCTGTTTCTCTGGAAGACCCTGACTTTTACATATTTCAACATAACTAGAGTCAAAGTAGTGTTATCTATTTTCTGAGCTTGAACGTTTAGCTCCATCTCTGCTGCTTTGAGTACCGTGGCAGACAATTCTCCTCTTTCCAGGCAGTTATCTAAGTCTACTGTTGCTCGGTAAGTACCTGTGTGTGCCTCTCTTATGCCATTATATTATTGTAATTGTTGGCATGTGTGCCTGTTTTCTCAAACTAATCTGTGAGCTTCCTGCAAACTAGGACTTGCTCCTACTAGCTTGTGAAGCTCAGGTACCCAGCCTACTTGGCATGTAAGTAGCCTATGAGTTGAAAAGCACTATTTATCTGTAGAGTGAAAGAGTTTAGCTCTTGCCTGACTCTTACATATGATATTAGGAAGGAAATTAAAGGGAGAAGCACTAAAATGGAAAGTGTGACAGAAAAGCTCTAGGAGAGGTTGGCAAGCACATCATCAACATCTTTTAGATCATAACCTTGTACTGGATGGTAGGTGTGAAATGTATTGTGTGATTTGGAACACCAAGTGAGTGCTATCTAATCAGCATTTGTTTGTTTTTCAATTTATCGAGTATTTATTCAGACATGATTTTGTCCAGTTATGGCCAGATAAAGCCAGACTTTAAAATATTTCATAGAGACATTTTCAAGAAAACAGAGAAATGTCAAGAAGGAAAAAAATGCTTATAACCTCATTACCCACAGCTAACTATGAATATTTTTTGTGTAGATCTTCCTAGGAATTTTTAGTATTCACACACAAATACAATGATAGCAGAATTTTTAGTATTTACAGACATATACAATGATAGCATGTCACATCTGCTGTTTTGTTATTTGTTTTTAAAGTAAACACTAGAACATCTTTTACTCTTATTAACTATACATTATTTTTAATGCCTGCATACTATTCCACTGCAGGGAAATATATACATTTAACCAATCCCTTTATTATTGGACATTTAGCGTGCCTACCTCCCTCCTTTCTTCCTTCCTTCCTCCTTCCTTCTTTCCTTTTTTTTTTTGCTATTCTAAACATGAACTCAGTGAACATATTTGAACATGTATCTTTGTGTACTTGGCTATTATTTCCTGAAAATGAATTGTTAGAATTTCTGGGTCACAGGTAACCAACCTTTTTAGAGGAGGTTTTTGCTATATGTTACCTAAGTGCCCCCCAGAAATGTTTTACCAATATACATTAATTCTAGCAATGTATGAGAATTAAAATGCACTCTTAGAACAGGTATAGGTACATACGTGACTAATTTGTTGTTGTTGTTTTCCTCTAAGGCAGGTTGCTTTTTCTTACGCTGTGAATATTCGCATAAAATCTTGTTCAACCAGTTAAGCCTATTAGTGATTCTACCAGGATAAATTAATAGTCATCATATATCCATACTTGTTTAAGCAAAATACTCAAGCATCCAAAATATGAGTAGCCAGTCTTGCAGCATGTATGAATGACTCACTTGTTTGTTTGAAACGAGAAAATATGGGAGGAGACAAGTCAAATGACTGTGCATCTTCATCAAAGAAACCATGATATAGGATGTCAGAACAATGGAGTAGCCCCAGTGCCAACCTTTGGGGGCTATAGAGTAACACGTTAAATCATGTTGTGTTTATTTTCATAAGATTGCAAACTATGACAAATGATACAACTATTAGTTAAAAACAATGGTGTTCCAAGAACCAGGATGATCCTTTAGTTTGTACCTTAATGTGTCTTTGGGAAGAAATGTTAAAAGAATAATGTTGTGTCCTCAAATTGAATTTTTCTCATATGGATTACAGTTAAACTGGTAGTGTTATTTAATAATAATCCAGGAACCTTTTAGAACAGAAAGGAATCTGTGAAAGCTAAGGTACTCCTGTTTTTTTGTTGTTGTTTATAAAGATACATTTATTTAGCATAAAAGATTATCATTTATTCCAAGATCATTTTTTTTTAAATAAGCTTATTCTAGGAATCAATTTACTTCTATTGAAATTATTCAAGACTCTTTTTCCTACCAAGATTTAGTTTATTCTCCATTAGTTCAGAGACATTCCAGAAACTTCACATTTCTAGCCAGAAAATGAAGGCATACTTTGACAGAATCAGTCCTGGTGTTTCTTATCTGTGTTTACTGCTGTTAACAAATGTAATAGAAAGTAAACCCATAATATGAAAAGTAACACTTAAATTTTCTCATGTTCAACAATTTTTATTTTTATTAAACATCATTTAACAATTAGAATTTTGAAAATGTATGGATAATTTGAAGTAGTTCTCATGGTATTTATAAATTAAGGGGACTTGGGGGACTAAGTAAATTTTGCTGTCTGTTTCTTTTGGTCAGACTTCTATATTTTTCTCTCCTAGATTTCAAGGGAAGACTACTTTTATTTAAAAATGTTTCTGTGTAATCAGGTCTGAGAGTCTGATTTCTTAAATATTCAAGTGGAAGTAGTAAGACACATGTTAACATGAAATTTTCTCTGCTCAGACTCAAGTTATAGATTCCTGAAAACTTACATGTTCCAGCTTAGATAAATTAAGAGGTAGAGGAAGTATAAAAAAAGTGAATAAACAACTTAAAAACACAGTGCTGATACTAGGTATGCTGACACTAGGCATGCTACTGCAGAAAGGAATAGTATAGGTGTACTTGCTATTGCTAGTTGGAGTTAAAACTGCTGGGTTAAAACCACTGGGGCTTGTGGGTCTTCAGTTGTGCAGACCTTTTATAGAGACGCAGTGTTTTGAATCAGCAAAGAAGTAGCAGGGGTGTGAGTTGTTATGTGAAGAAAGGACAAGTAGTGTGTTTGTGAAGGGCGTGGTAGGGAAAATAACTCTCCCTCAATTAGCTTATATGTTAGTTGCCTCACTTAAGATTATGTTCAGTCAATATCATAAGTAAAAATGTCCTGAAGTATTTTGACTACTAGGTATTTTTATAATTCTCGTGCTCTTCAATCCCCAAGGAGTCCATTGTTATGGTTAGAGCATCATTCTCTTGACTCCAGAGCCATAACTTGGCTGGAGATGCCCAGTAGTGTCTTGTCTTTGGTTGTGGAGAAATATTCATTCTCCTTCACAGCTGCCACTCAGAAATGCCTTAAATTTATCTATACTTTCACTAGTAGCCAAGAGAAGTAAGACGGTGATTTTATAAAAGTTAAGAATTACAGTATCTCAAGCATATTATGCATATGCTACTTTCTTGTTTTCTTGCCCTTTGCTAGTATGTGTGAATGCTGAGTAGGGGTTCCAACCCTGTCTTGGTGCAACTACAGGTCAGTTTACCAGACTGTAGACATGACAGGTAAGGGAAAACAAGGATACCATGGTAAATTGAAAAGAAACAAAACATTTTCAAAGTCTTCCTCCTTCCCGTTAACTCGAAAAAATTCCTTTTGTCATTAGAAGGATTTGGACAGTCTCATTTATGAACCCAGCAATCCCACTACTGGGCATATGTTCAAAGGAAATAAAATCAGTGTATCAAAGATATATCTGCACTCCCATGTTTGTTCCAATGTTATTCACAATAGCCAAGATATGGAAACAACCTAAGTGTCTGTCAGTGGATAAATGGATAAAGAAAATATGTGTGTGTATACACACACACACAAAACGGACTATTATTCAGCCTTAAAAAAAAGGAAATCCTGCTATTTGCAGCAACATGGATGAATCTGGAGGACATTATGCTAAGTGAAAAAAGCTGGACACAGAAGAGAACTAAGGCTACCCGGAGGAGGGAAAGGGAGAGGATGGGGTTAGCGAGAAATTGGTAAAGGGCCACAAAAAATGAATAATTGTGTAATGATAAATATAGTAATTATCCTGATTTGATCATCACATATTTCACATAGGTATTGATATTCAAAGCTGTATCCCACAGATATGTACAATTATGTTTCAATAAAAAAATAATGCATGATCTCATGTGGAATTTTAAAAAGTCAAACTTATAGAAACAGAGAGTAGAGTGGTGGTTACTGGGAGCTGGGAGAAATGAGATGTTGGGCAAAGGGTACACTGTTTCAATTATGCAGGATGAATAAGTTCTGGGGATCTAACATACAGTATGGTGACTATAGATTATAATAATGTGTGAAATTTGCTACGAGAGTAGATCTTAAGTATTTTTACCATACACATAGGGTAACTATGTGAGGTATTGGATATGTTAATTAGCTTGATTGTGATACACAATTTATATGTGTATAAAATCACATTGTACACCTTAAATATATGCAATTTTTTTTAAGGTGACCAGTAAGGGGATCTTAACCCTTGACTTGGTGTTGTCAACACCACACTCTCCCAAGTGAGCTAACCGGCCATCCCTATATAGGGATCCAAACCTGTGGCCTTGATGTTACCAGCACCACACTCTCCCAAGTGAGCCACGGGCCGGCCCGATATATACAATTTTTGTTTGTCTATTACTCATATACCTCAGTAAAGCTGAGGAGGGGATTGGAAGGCCTCATACAATCTCATTTGTGGACCACAACAGAACTCAGTGATAGCTAGAGGCTCACTTGTAGGAAAAAGATTTTTGCTTAGATAATTTTATGATTTTCTCATCAAATATTCTTTTTTAAACAAGAAACATATGTTCAGGACTTTTTCTTTTAATATTTTCAAATATTGTATCTTAAAACTTTTTTTACAGTTCTCTTATTGAAATTATTTATAGACTCATTTTCCTTACCTATATTTAGTTCATTTTCCAGATCGTTCAGGGACAGTCTGGAAGCACCCAACTTGTAGACAGAAATTGAAGACATGCTTTCATAGAGGCAGCGCAGAGCAACCCAAGTGTTTCTTATCTGTTAACAAGTATCATAAAGGTAAATCCATAATACTAGAAATGAAATCTAAACTTTCTGGTTTGATCATTTTTATTATTATTATTATTATTTTTTTCCTTTTTGTCTTTTTTCGTGACTGGTAATGGGATCGCAACCCTCGGTGTCGTGCCCGTACTGCGACTGGCAACGGGATCACAACCCGTGGTGTCGCGCCTGCACTGCGCTCAACCAGTGAGCAGACCGGTCTCTATATGGGATCCAAACCCTCGGCGGGAGTGCCGCCGCGCTCCCAAGCGCCGCACTCTACCGAGTGCACCACCGGGCCAGCCCATTTTTATTATTTTTAAAAATAAGCTTTGGTTTTAGTGCTTACAGTCTGCTGGGAACTGTGTATCTTCTAAAATGCTTGAGCACTGGCCCTCGTTGGGTGGCATGATTTCTTCTGGTGTCCTTACAAAGAGGAATCTTTGGCCCTGAGCTTCTGTCATCCAAGGCCTCTGATAATGTATTTATAAAACTTTTCTGAAAATGTATGTGTTTCTTTTAGAGTTATAGAAAAGGCAATTAAAATGTGAATAAGAAACCCAGTAATCCCAATTCTATAAAATCTGGTTTTCCAACACAACAAAACCTGTTTCGATTTTTCAATTACCTTGGTGTAGGCACCTTCTCGTCAAAGATGTTTTGGCTGTAAATCATGCAGCCCTCTCAGAGCGAGGCATTTGTGAGTGTAATTGCCCAATTATGCGTGAGGTATGGTCAGCACAGAAATCCAGTTCAAAGAGCAGAAGGTCATCACCTGTGGGTTGGGGGGAGGGAGGGAGAGAGAGAGAGAGAGTGTGTGTGTGTGTGTGTGTGTGTGTGTGTGTGTTTTACGAGGTGGAGCACAGTGAAGACAGATTAAAGCAACAATACGTCAGGTTTAATCATCTGTAAATGAGCATTGAGTATTGCAGCTAATAAATGTGGAAATGGGTAATTAAAACATGATGTGTAAGGAAACATAAGTTTTCTTCGTGGTTGTCCTCTTAGGATAATTTGTGGTGTTGAGAACCTGCCTCAGGCTAATTAGGATGTGCTACTGAAAAAAAAAAAAAAAAAAAAAAAGGATGTGCTACTGATGTGATCTAAAAAGTGTTCATCTCCAGAAGTTGCCAAAAGAAGGGAAGCCTAGGTATATACAAGCCTGGAGATGGCATGCTGGTTTTATTTAGGGGTGAATGGTTAAAGCTGATTGCCGGTATGCCTGTGTTTATCATCACGTTGCATATTAGCAGCTGGTGTCTTTCCCTTTTCACTAATATCTGGTTTATTACATAGATCTACTCTCCCATTTCCCCATGTTATACTAGATCTTTATAGTCTCAGCAACAGGATCAATGCTGAGTATCCTTCCCCCTACCAATAGATAATGTGTCATTAGGAATGCTTTCAGCTGCAACATAAAACCCCTGCATTGGGGTAATTTTTTTTTATGTAGCAGAAGGTCCAGCAGGCAGTCAGTCCATGGTAAGTGCAGCAGGTCAACAATGTCATTAAGGTCCAGGCTCCACCTATTGGGGGCTGGGGTTCCTTTGTCATGTGAGTTCCTCTTCAGAGTCACAAGTTGGCTGCTGCATCGCCAGGAGTTATTTAAGGTAAAAAGAAGACGAGAGGGCTTTCTCCTAATGAGGTTTTTTCTTTTTTTTTAGGAGAAGACTATTTCTGGTGACTTCTGCCTATGTCACATTGGCTAGAACTGTGTATAACCACCACTAGCTGCAAGGGGGTCTTGTGTATCTGGGTATTTGGCTGCCCTGGAAATCAACTATTGGATATAATCCCTTTGAAATAATTGCTCACATAAGATGGTAGTACTTCATGTGGCTTTGCTTACGTTTTTCAGTAAATGAAAAAAACTTAGCATTCATTTTATTAGAAAGAAAAGGCTAATTGTAATTTTGTTTTCAGCTGTTGCTATTGAATGTGATCCATTTTTCTCTGACTCATCTCAATGTCATAAACTAGTTAAAAGTCATGCCAATTTAGGTATTTGTATTAAGTATTCACAGATTTTTTTTGTAAAAAAAACATTATTTGACAGCCTCTTACAGAGCAGTGGCTTTGCTAGGTAGAATGGAGAGTGATCAGTGGATGAAACGATTGTAAGTGTCCTCTGCCTTTACAGAGCTGCTGATCTGCAGAGCCAGGCAGGTGGACAAGCCGGTAGTTCTAATAAAAGGAAGCACAAAATATAAGCCAGATATGCAAGTGGGAGGTAATATTTTTATGAGTATTGTGGGAAGAGGGTGACAGTGGGGACATAAAACATAGGTAGTGTTATTGTTTAATTTCCATGTTTTAAAATTTATTTTTATGATGTTTAATTAGTATAACAAAGAAAGGTGTTACTTTAATATGGAAGGAAAAGGGACTTTTATGACTCAAGTATGTCATTAGAGACACCTTAATTCCTCTTATCTCTTTCTCTCCTTATTTTATAGCTCTGTCATAGGCTCTACCAAATGCCAGTTCTCAAAATATCCACTTAAGGTTTGGGGATATATTATGGATTTTAGTTTCCCCAAATACTGTTAACTTAATAAAATTAAGCCACTGTTACAGAATGAAAATCTTTTAAAAAATCAAAGAATATCAGAGCTCATAGAGCAGAAATTGTAATCCTCTCTTCACATGTCCCCTTACTCACTGCACACACCCAGAGTATGGTTGGTTTCTTTTCACGTAATTAGAATCATACTATATGTATTGTTCTGTAACTGCTCCCCCCAACATCTTTTTTTATTCTTTTCTTTTCAGTACACATGGAATAGTGTTTTTTAAATCAAGAATGGTACTACCCTCCCCCAGGGATTTTTAAAAAATATGTGGGGGCATTTTTTGAATAAATATCCTGCCTAGAATACTAATAGCATCCTGCTGAGAAACAATGATATGGAGCTACCTAGGCTTTTAAACATTTCTTTATATAATTAAAAAATGTGATTGTAACATAACTATTTCCTCACTGGTGGTCAGTGTCCTTTTTTTTTTGGTTGCTGGCAAGTACTGAGATCCAAAAACTTTGACCTTGGTGTTATTACCACTGTGCTCATGTCTTCAAACATATATCTCTGTGTATGTGCAAGAGCATAGTATAAATTACTAGAATAATTGCTGGGTCAAAGAGTAGGCATGTTTAAAATCTAGTGATGCTCCCAAATCACTCTCCAAAACGGGCTGTGCAAAATTACAGTACTAATAACATTGCGTACATTTTTCCACATCCTTTTCAACACTTGATATTATCACTTAAAATTTTTTGCCAACAAAATAAAAAAAACAAAGTCTTGTTTAAATTTCCACTTTCCTTTTGAAAAAAGCCTATTACAGAGTACTTTCAATATAGTGATAAGTGACTAATTGGCTCTTAGAGATAGTTATTGCTGGTCTGCTCTGGATATCTTGTTGCCTATTTCACTCATGTTTCAAAAACAGATTTATTCGCAAATCAGTCATCTCTTTGGAATGTATTTTAAGAATTTGCTACGAGTCAAATGTGTCCTCCTCCCTGCCCCCGAAGTTTATGTATTAATCTTCATTGTAACAATGTTAAGAGGGTGGAAAATCCAATTATGATACTTGAAAGGTGGGGCCTTCGAGAGGTGATTAGATTGTGAGGACTATGCCTTTGTGAATGGATTGATGCATTCATGGAGTAATGGTTCTGATGGCTTTAAAAGGAAGCAGGTGAGGAGGTTAGCTCTCTCTTGCTCAGCTCATTCTCACCGTGTGACATCCTGCATCACTGTAGAGTTACCACCAAGAACAAGGCTCTCACCAGATGTGTTCCCTGGACTTTGGACTTCCCAGACTCTAAAATTGGCGGAAATAAATTTCATTTCTTTATAAATCACCCAGTTTCAGGTATTCTGTTATAAGCAACAGAAAATAGACTAACATAGAACTGATATTTGATATATGAAGACTTGCTATTTGTACAGAGAGCCATGTTCTCTGAACTGTGGTTGCTACCTAATCAGTAGGTTGATGAAATCAAATTAGAGATCATGAGCAGCATAAGAAAAGAAATAGAATAGAAAATATTAGAATGTATCATATATGATAGTATACTAAGAGTAAGGCAAGTTTCATGAAACTTATTTCATATGTATTTTCATTTGTGTTTTGGATATGTGTATTTATATGTATGTATATATGCGTGTATATATGTCTGAGTGCTGCATTGTGATGTAAAGTATATTTCTGTGGGTTGAAGAATACTGGTATGGAAAATCTTAGCTTTAAAAATGTACTCAAAGCACAGTTTATTTCTGCCCTAACTTAGGCAGCAGTTTCATACTCAATTGTGACATTAAAAAAAATAAGTTGTCAATAGTATCAATACTTTTCAAAAGGTTAAAGACTAAGGCTCTTTTCGAGGAGCTTAAATGCTTTAAGATAGATGTCACCTAATTGGGTCTGGAGATATAATAGGTGTGGAAAGTCAAATTGGCTTGGGTGCAGAGAGAAGAAATGAATAGCTACACCCTGCTGAACTTAATTTCATTGAGCAATTTAGTTTTTCTGTGCTTCAGTGCAGTTGCTGTGCTTGACTGTGTAGTGGCTGTGTTACTGTGCAGGTGAGAGAATGCAGAGGAAGTCCTTGAATTTTAAGTTTCTCTCTGTGGGTGGCACAAGTTCAACTGATCATCCGAGAGAGGTTGCTTGAACTAATTTAGAATATTTAGTTTGCCTTGATTCCAATGCTGATCTTATGTTGCTTAGAAAATTACCTGTTGATGATTATAATAAATGGTGGTAATTAAAATTTTAAAAATGATGGAACATTCTGCATGTGGGTGTATTTAATTATCTGGCAGGTGTTCATGTTTCTAGAGTGTGAAACTTATGGGTAAACAATAGCCTTTCTGTTAGAAATTCTGCCCACACTTTTGTACACACTTCCCTTTTATAGGTGGGTATTTTCCATCAATTTGAGAGTAATAGTGATGACTATATGTGTTGTAGACTAATTTGTGTTGTACTATATATTTACTAAGTGGTTATATATTTTTTGTTTTACTTTAAACCAATTCTACGTTTCTTACTTGAATTATTCTTATTCAATAATTGTATCTTCACAAAAAATATGAATTTTATATTTTTAGATTTGTAAATAATGATATTAGAAGAATTGTGCTTTTAACGTTCTAAAATATAACCACACATTCATTTCTTTTAATTTTATAAGGTATTCCTAACACATTTTTGGCAAAGGTAAACACAAGATAATAAATATATTTCATCATCCAAAGAAGATGGAAACTAAAGTTCTTTAAAGACTATCAACCACTGTGTAAAACTGAGTCCTAATGTTCTAATATGGTACTTAGGTTCTATATTGTTAATATTGAAACGGAGAGAGGCAGGATTAACATCAGGTGTGCTTTATTGTGTTACTTTACATTTAGGTAAAATCTTCTAACCCCGAAAAGTTTAAAGTAATTTTATACATATTCTTGTTCTGTCTCATCATATCTATGAGTTGGCATCTTCTGTCCCTCTCAGTGTTTGGTTGGTGGTACCAAGGTATCTGATACCTATTGTGATTTCCAATGAGCATCTCCTACCAGCTTAACAAAAGTTTGCTTGTGTAAGAGCTTTAAGCTCTTTGCTGGTGGTGAATAGGATGACTGACATTTCTGTCAGGTGGCTTCTGGAATTTTGTTAGTTAGACAGGAAATCCTTCAGCTGTATAGTATATGTGTGTATATATATATATAGTATATATATATATAGTATGTGTGTGTGTATGTGTGTGTGTGTATATATATATATATATATCTCCTCTGCGTCCATGTTATTACCTGACACGCCCCCACCCCCTTCCCCTTGGAAAACATTCCTTTCTATTCACCTTTCATCTAAAGAAGTTGCTGCATCTGGAAAGAGAAGACAAGGTTAGGTTTAGGTGATTTCTGTGTGTGTGAAAGTTTCATTGTTTCTACTTCAACAGTTCTATTTTGTTAACTGGTGTCATAACTTAAAGTGATGTAAATGCTAATTAAACCAATTGGCTTGATGAAAGAAGATTGCATATGGCAACAAGAAAGCCTTATTAGTAGATGTTTAGAAATAAAAAGCGAATGTCATAATGCAATTTATGTCCAAAACGTATTCTGTGAGTTTCTTTGAATAGAATTCTGTGTTCCTCAACCTTTTTGTTTTTTCTCTTCTTTTTCTAAGGTTTGTCCTCCTTAAATTTAAATAATAAATTACAGGGAAAGAGATTCATCAACGTTTAGATAAAACTGAAGAAATGCCAGTAAGTCAGATGCAATATATATGTTTTTTTCTTTGAAAAAATATTAGATATTGCATTAAGTTGTTTGGCATATGTAGTTGTTGAGGCTTAACGAATGAGTTTCATGGCATGTTATCAGAATATGAGGTAATTTAAAACAACTGTGTTACAAATAGGTTTAACTTCCTCTAATTAAGGAAGACCCACACAAAGCCTTTCAGAAATAGAATTTCCTGGTTCCTTACAATGGCCTTATAGAAGGAAATAAAGATCTGTTTTATATGCAGGTTCATTTGTGGAGGATTCATAGAGTACTGTGTTTTAACATGGCTTCACTGGCTTGAGGAAGTAAAGCTACTGAATACAAAGGGTGCATGGAGTGAGGGTGTTCTCTGTCTTTCCCAATGAGAGACCACGAGCTTCTGGAACCCGTATCCACCCAGGCTAGTGATCAGTGGGTAGTTCCAGATGTGAAGGTTGAGCCATTGCTTGCTGTTGTCTTTCCACTGATT